TATACTGCATATGCACCGGTATTATCCACAAAAATTTTAAGGCGTCCTTTCCGTGGTGTAATGATATAGGCCTATATTTGTGATAATGGTTTTGTGATTTGATTTTTTTTTCTTCTTAATTAAACAAAGAGGGGGAGGGGTCTATGGATAAGTCCGTAGGCCTATTGCATTCAAGTGACATCTCAGTAAGGTCTCCTGAAGTTTAGTTCGTGTCTCTCCACATTTGCTTGGTCAAATAATTTCAGTCAGTGCAGATTCATTAGGCTATACCAAGGAGTTATAACTCCTTGGCTATACTGCCTACACTAAGACGTATTTGGTACTTGAGACAGCGACACATCACAGCCGCTGTCTCATCTTAGGCTACATGTACATTCATATTCAGACGTCATTGTTCGGATTCTAGTTAAAGCGAAAAAAGTGTTGAATCTAAACCTGTTACAGGAAACACAATCAGCATGCTATACCCAAGTTCGTCTGTCACCTTGATCGGTTAGGCTATTGAACTTAAGAACTTTGACAGTTTACCATATAAATTATTAAATTGAATTTAAATTATTAAATTTAAAAATGATATATATAGGGGGCCTATATATATATACCCTATATGACGGTTTTATGAAATTCGCTGAAAATTTCTAAATCGATTTTTAATCTTTTTTTTACACTATCATGGCAGACTTTTATGTGGTTAGGGTTTATCAACCTATCAAGAGGGTCCCATTGGGTATCATCGTTACCCGTAAAAGCCACTTTTTATTTCCAGATATGCGTGAAACGTTCATTTTATTTAGCTCGATTCATGAATTCACTTCATAAAATTTGGCCTATTTCCGTGACTCGTGAATGCGGCTTTTTATTCTCCGCCCCTTGTGAAATGAAGTCATAAAATTATCGATTCGTGACCTTCAGGATATTCGAGGCGCATTATCAGTAGTATAAAGTTTTATTTACTGTGAATTGTGAATTGATGATTTTATATTCCGTGAAATGTAATCACCCCCCCCCCCCCCTTTCTGGGAACCTCTGCCAAGGTGGCAACCGAGCGTGGTTGTGCCAGTGTTCCGCATTGTGTTAGAGAATCTCTATGCCGTAATTGCGTCAAAAGTGGGTACTTAGCATGTAGCCTCACAGGACTGTCCAAAAGTTTGTGATCGAGATAATTTTAACGGTGATGGACGAACCTATGGAAGAGGAGAAGCAGAGTGACTCCCCAAAAGTAGAAGAGGAAAGAAAGTTGAATGCCTCATCTCTCTTGAGGCCAGGGAGTATGGGTAAATCTAATGAATTTGCGATCGGTTTGTAATATCATGTCAGAATCACTGTCACAGACAGTAATATCAGTCGGGCTGTCAAGGGCAGGCTGAGCCTATAGGAAGGCAGACTAAATGTGCTTTTCTTTTTTTCTCATGCAGAGCACGGTCCGGATATGTAGGGATATTGCTTTTAAACTGATCCGATATTCTTCAAGGGGAGGTCTAGCTTACTAGTACATGTTTTAAAGCTTGAAGAGAAAGGGGAGTTTTACACCCTACATGTACGGTACATGCATCTTTTTTGAGGGACAAATATTTGTTAGAGGCATTTTCAATATGCCCCCTTCACATACATGCATACTTCCATACATGTAGCTAGACAGTTGAATGAAGGCTTTATGGTCATCCTAAAATGTGCATATATCCCTGCATTATTTATGTTGTGGTACAAGTATGTGAATTTTTTTCTAATTATCAATAATATTGTGATTATGATGCCATGAAATGAGTATTCATGGAACTTGTCTGACTGCATAAAGTATCCTTAATTTGGTTTCTCAGCAGACACACGTAGTGGCATACTCCGTATGTAGATCAGTGGTTACAGGTAATGGGAATTGCAGGCAATACTGAAGTGCCCACATACAGTACAACATGATAATGCAGTGTCTTGTAATAATGTGCATATGCTGATTCAGACTCCAGCGCAGTAAATGTATAGATACATTAAAAAGTAGTGCTATCAACTTATCAGGCATTTGGCCATATCAGCCTCATTGCAGTGGTGCAGTAAGTTGATATGATAAAGGGGAAGTGGATTGCATACTTTCTGATTTCTTGAACTTTTGTCATGATAGCCATATTGATATACCAACAGTTACTGTAATAATATAAGAATGAGACTACTTCACTCATTATCATTGTTGTTGTTGTTGTTCCTGTTCTTCTTCTTAGATTCATTTTTTTTTTTCTTTTTGTAGTTATGATGACAATCACAGTAGCAGACTATGAAGCACAGTACTGGCCACAGCTAGAGAATGCAATTCACCACTTACTGACCATGAAGCCAGGGGGATATATTCCTATATCTTATGAACAAATGTATAGGTAAACAGAAACAATGTTTTTTTTTAATTCATTTTTTATTATTTATTTGATTTAATTTATTTATTTATATGGTAGTGAAATAAATTATCAGTAGCTTAAATTCCTTACATTGTGTTGTGAAAAGTAAACAAATGTGGCTATTAACAACCTAGTCCCTCATGACTAGTGCACTAATGCCTCAAGACTAGTCCCTAATGACAATGATTTTACTAGATACAGAAAATTTGACACTAGGAAGATAGGACACATAAATTGATTTCATTTTAAAGTTTGTCATTTTGCCAATTTCTGCCTTTTAAACTTATTGTTCACTTTTTCCTACACATATTATGTACCATTTTAAAAAAGTAATTTTTCTTTCAGTTGTGTGTATAAATGTGTATGCAAGCAGTTTTCTGAGAGATTATACAATGACCTACTGCAGTACATCACTGATCACTGTGACAAAATGTGTAGGGAGCTAGACGCAACTGTAAGTAGTTCTCAGTAGTCTTTTTCTCATTAATTTCAACTTAGGTCTGTTTTTAGTCTAAGAATGGAGCTGTTCAGAATGATGTAGGTCACAATAGCTAGTGTACACCAGCTCCATTGGTACTCTCACTGAATGAAATCAAATTAACAGGCTAATAAACCCTCCTGGCATCCAGGAGAATACAAAGAAGCAGGTGATTATACAAGTATTTTAGAAACAAGAGGAGGCATGTTAGCCTGTTAATCTGATTGCAGTCAGTGAGAGTCCCCATGGAGTTAGTGCATACTAGTTAGTTTGAGCCTTAACTCATTCTGAATGGCCCTTATGATGTCATTTTGGAATGCTTTTGTTCTAAAAAAAACTTTCAACGATTTTACTACAGGCTGATAAGCAGCTTGTGTGGCCAGCAGCAATTATTAGACCTAAAACAGTTTAAAATAACAACTGATTATAATATGACTTTACATTATGGGTAGACTATATCTTTATAAAGAGTAAGAAACTTAAAATGATTACTAAGCTTATAATAAAGTGATGCTTCATTTTCAGACACAAGATCCTCTGGTATATATAGAAACATTTAATATCACTGTGAAGCAGTTCATTCAGGCTTTAGGTGGAATAGTACCTATATTTAATTATATGGTAAGTGTCAAAACAAAGACAAATAAACTGAAGTTCACTTATTCACATCTTCTCTACATTAAATATGGTCACCAGAATGTTTGTTACATAAACAAAAATTGTTTTAACTGTCACCCTCTATAATTATGTCAAAGTTCCTTGAAATTGACAAGGATAATTCCAGTACTTTCCTCTGACACAACAAATAAACCCCATATAATTAGCTTATCTTATTCTTGTTTAATCATATTGCTTACTAAAAGTTCCCTTTGTTTTATATTTCTATAAAATGTTTGATAATATTAATTTTGAAATGTGTTGTTTTCAGAATCGCTTTTACATAGAAAGTAAACTGAAGACAGATCTTAATGTTGAATTGAAAAAAATATTTACAACCAATGTAGCAGAGAAGCACATTAATATGCTATTACGTAAGTCTATGAATTGTCCTATATTAAAATTTTAACCATTCTATTTCAAAACTTTCTTCTATAATAATTTCATCTGTATATGTTGTAATGGGCATTACTTCCAAGAATTTTTTAGCAGTATAAATCTACCCTAAAGTTTATTTGGATTTTAATGACATTGTTGAAATTTAAGATAAAGTTATTCAGTTATGAATGTTTAATGTGTCTACTTTCAGCAGGTGAGATATAGGTGGCAAATTCCTCATTCTAATTGTATTTTTTGTATTTTTGTATTTTTGTATTTTTTAATGTATTTTCAGCTCTCCTAGTAGAAGCTCAGTCCAAACCATTTGCTGTTCCTCCAGCTACTATGGCAAGCCTCGTCAATCATCTGTATGCACTAAAACATGGTATGAAACACATTAATGCAGCACACTGGGAAAACTTTTATGAGTGATGCATAGTACTTTTATATGAATGCTACTGTGTTATAAATACAACCTTATCCCCTGGCATAAATCTTCTCAAAATATGGAATAGTATTCGGTTTGTACAGCATATATTGGATACTATATTAACATTTAGGTGATTGTGATATTTCACAGACTCTTCACATTCTTTAACCATCTTACCAATTAAAGGTACATTTAATTAAGTTAGTCCACAAGCTCAGTTGCCCTTATTCGCTAATCCCCCCTTTTTTCCCTTCTGCTTGTGATGTTGTATATGTTTTCTGAAATGGTGCAAAACTGCTGTATATCTTACTTCTTTTTCAGATTTTGCTCAACTGCAGCCAGATTTGTTTGCAAGATATATCCCCAATATTTTGCCACCATCTTCAGAATCAGATTTACAGAGGCACATAGAAGAGACACAAATAATGCAGCAACAACTAATGAGTCATCCAGAATTTACAAGGTAAAATTTGACAGAATGAAAAGTACAAGAATAAATACCTAGTCCATCTCTTTTTATTCAGCATATTGTTTCAGTATTTGTTTCAGAATAATGTTCAGGTTTAGTGTTCTTGGATTGCTGACATTTGTGCATCATGGTAAAACAATTTACAAGTATGTGTCAACTCAAATTTACTTTTACTTGAAAATTGACTTTTATAAGATAATTGTAATTTCAGTATTCATAAATGTATGGTGGATGTCTTGAAATTTTCCAAGTATTTTTTTTAATAAATGGCTATTCACTTCTCTCTTTTTTTACAGGGGGGAAGAAGGCAGAGTTAGAAAAAGACCTGGTGAAGATGAATATCAAAGTAAGTCAGTTGACATATTTATATAATATAAAGACACAAGTGAACATATGGACATTTAGACTATGTGAAAAGTGTGATCATTCTAACAATATGAATTTAGAAAGTACCCTAGCTCTAGAGCCTGAGACATGGATAAAATAAAATGAACTCATTAAATGTATATATATGCACAGAGCAAAATGCCTGAAATATAAAACATACTGTTTATATGATCTTTCTTTACTTCATTACTCTTGTCCATGCACCTCAGTGTTGACCATAGTGTTTATTTATTTTGTTATAATAATCATTTTCAATTGAATTAAATTAGATCATAACATTATTTCTGATACATTTACTTTTCAGAAGTGACTCCACTCATGTTTTTGCCCAAGCACAGCGACTCCTAGCACATCTTTGGATGAAAAGTTATTTTATTCTCCATGCGTGCAATTTTGGCAGCTCACCAGCCAGGTTTTTTTGCATCTTGCAGAAACAATAGATATCACATGTAGGGAGAAACTTGCCACTCCCATGATATTTAAAAGATACAAATGGACTGGCATTCCTGTATTTCAGGATTTATGATAAACCATAATCTCTCCTTGGGTTTGCCTTAATTGTAGAAAAACCCAGCTGCATATTATACATCATGCTGTGCATGGTGAAAACTGCTTCAAAGCTGTCTTTACTGTGATGGTATACTTTCATACAGAGATATTGCTCGTGAACAATGTTTACACTGAGGAGAATTTAAGGGTCTCTACAGTTCAACATTGTTTGGTGCTACTGGTTATGATATTAACCTTATAAACATTGATTGCTTCAAACCCTTTGCCAAGTATGTGATCTAGCTACAAATTATATTCCAAAACAAATTTGAGTGTAAGTGTGCTTAAAGGGAAGACATTTTCTGTAATTTTTTTCACCTTTACTGGTTATGGACGTTTTTCATTTCTGTTTGTGCTTTTACTTCTTTCAAGATTTTATAACTTAAAACCCCATTTCGTGCTTTTAGAAAAATTGCACCACATTGGGATTTGTGGCAACAGCCAGTCTTTTTTTTTTTTTTTTTTTTGTATCAAGCATGTAATCCACAAAAATAAACTTTCTAAAAGTAGTGGATTAGAAGAATGTTCATTTCCTTGTGCACTTGCTTCAAGTTGTAGAAAATTCTTTTACAAGTTTGGGTGACATTTTGTTGGAAAAAAAGTTTGTATAATTAAGCAAATTTCTTCAGTGTGGTTGCTGGATTTGTTATTCCAGGATTTTCCGTTACTAAAAAAATTGTCTTAGTTGTAGAGATAGTGAATTAATTTAATATGAAAAATAAATTATTATCAAATAGTGGTTCTTTCTCGGTGAATGGGAATGTGTTGACTTTGCTGCAGTTTCAGTACATTTATGAGTCAAAATAAAAAGGAATATCTAAATTGAAATCAGACATACTTTTTCCTCGGGACACCAATGTCCTCTCCACATAATTTGTGCCCAGATATTTCTCAGCAGAAAAAATCGGCTCCTGGGTCAATGAAATCAGTGGAGGAAAATGGTGCTGACATAAAAAACTTGACCAAATGTTTGAAATTATAAGTGATCAATTATTTGACTGGATGTGGTTGAGTTTGCATTTGGCACAAAAACATAAAAGAAATTGATTTTAAGACTGGACACAACTGACAAAAATTATTGATCTACCTCACTTGACAGATCTGTAGCACTTCATTCAAATATTATTATTATATTATATTATACTGATTATTAAACCTAACGTCATTGTGTAAATGTTCTACTCCTTATTTATAATGCGCAGAGAAACTACATAAGAATTTTGAGTCTTACGTTCCTTTTGTGTGTCCATGTGTGTGTGTGTGTGTGAAACCTGCCTACTCATTCAACTTAGGTATGGTGTTTGCACATTGCACAGTAAAATGACAGTGCATATCAAATGTGGTATTTGTTATTTGACAGATTGCCTTCTAATTTCACCACTGACATTCATTAACAAATAAGGTAATACTTAGAATAAATTTTTATTACTGAACATAAATAGAAATAGATAAATATATTTTTATCATCAGAACTTCTGACAATGTTTATTGTACAATGTATCAAATAGGCTTTTATTGCTCCTTTTTTCGTCTGGAACCTTCTGATTTCCTGGAGTTGGACTTTACAAGATTCAGATTCAGAATGTTCACAATTAGAATGATTGCATTTATTATATAGGAAGACACACACACTACACAGAAGTCCTCCAGTACAAAATACAGGATATATGCCAGGTAGACACACCCAAGGCAGGCAGTCACAGATATCACCAGTTGCATGGTGGCAGCAGTTACTGTGGGGCAAAACACTATAAAAAGAAAGATATACAAAAAATTTACATTGCAATCATCTACATATCAGATGGTCTACTGATAATGCTTATTAGTTCAAATTATCAATGCCTCCTGTTTACTTTTGAGTAAACTCTCTATTAATGCTTTGGTGATGTTTGTATGAACTGTTTAAGACAGTAAAAATGTACTGCAGTCCACGTCATTCCACCAAACTGCATATTTATATACATTTATGTGAAAATTACAATATTCTTCACATACCTCCCAACACAACCTGAGTCATATAGTAAAGGATCCCAAAAACAGAGTTGGGTTGATTAAGCCAGTGATGATGGTCCCCAACAACTAGTTCTATAAGACCAAACCCACGGCCCCATCTTAAAAACACAAAAGGGAATGCAATTGTAATCAAACTTTCTAGAAATGTAACGTTAATTCTACATAAATGGTCATCTTAAATGAAATTAAAAGACTTTTACGTGTGATAAAGCATGGCCTATTGCAACATAATTCTGAAAAAATGTGTTTACTACTTCACTTGAACTTGTAGCGACATGTACTGTATACTTCACGCGTTTTAAAATTATAACAAATGCCTGGGATAGCGAACGTTACCTTGAGGTAAATACTTTCGAGCAACTAATCTTAGCACTTATATCACACATAGCTCTATAAGATGAATCGCGTTCCTTCGTTATTTCTACATGATAGGCATAAACTGACACTAGAAAACCTAAAACGCAAAGGAGTAACAAAAGACTCGTGTACAATCTAGAAGCTGACATCTTGAAAAGACCACTTACAGCAACAATAAATCATCGTATAAAATGTTCATTTTATTAATTGCAAGTTTACAAATACCAACCAAAGTTTGCTTTAGGCACTACTTAGGTAAAAATTATATATCCTAAGCATTATTATACAATAAACATAGCCATTTATGATAAAATAACTCGGAATGGTGTTATGATATAAGCGATATTAGTTCCAGCTGCACGTGCCAGTGTTTGTGTTTACGGATGGAAAAAGGTAAACGGCTCCGGCTCTTCCGTTTTCTGTGATCACAGCTTGCCATATTTTACACGTTTCAGGACTATTACATAGTTAGAAACCTATTTTAGTGGTCATTGTTCAGAAAGAGATACGGTACGTGACATGTACATGGCAATAGTTGGAGCTCTAAACTGTTAGTTTGTTTACGTTTTAACGTTTAAGATCAAGTTTCAATAAACGCTCATGATTTTTTACAGAAAGTGTTTGCAGTGCGAGCATAAATATTCTTGTCTTACGTTAGTATTAATTGATTGAATTACAAATTAATACACTATGTATGATGTGATGGCAGTTAAATGCATTGACTAAATAGTCCTTATGGTCAGTTTCAGTTGCACTGACATCTGGCAGATACCTGTAACCCCCCCCCATTTCGCACTAGCTGTAACAAGGAGTGGGAGACCTTGCCCCCAGGTTCTCTTTGAAAAAAAAAAGGCTCCATCCATGCGTTGTGATCACACATATGTCAAAGTATGCTGGACATTATGATTTATTAGTGAATATTTTACAACGTTATTACTGAGCATTTAAGCTGACTCAAACAATTCTAATTTCATTTCAGGTGCTGTTTTAACTACTCTTTACAATGGCTGGATATATTTTGTCTTCTAATGCAACAGACCACATCATCTTCAATGCTTTAGGGATTCTAGTCTCCTCGTATGCTCTGTATATTGAGATTAGAAAACATAAAGATAAGAATTATAAGGCATTTTGTGATCTAGGGGAAACCATGAGCTGCTCTAGAGTTTTAACGTCAGAGTAAGTAATTTTAGGGAAAGGACTTGCAACTAAATATGTGTTTGCACTTTTATGCACCCAATTTTATGTTTTACAGTTGTAGGTTTAAACAATTGAAAATAATTAAATCACATCTTGGATACTACAGTAATATATATGAGTGATTTGAGCTCCAACGTTTCATCTTGCTATTTTGCTTTTAACTGTACATATTAAGCTTTTAGAATTCACTCTTAGATCTGCAAATTAGTGGCATTCTACAATAGCAGTAAACTTTACTTTTATCCTAAAAAAGGAAACCGTATATGTACATTATATCAAGATGTAGGTAGATGAAATACCATCTTTATTGATTAAATTCATCTCTTGACAGGTACAGCAAAGGGTTTGGGATTGTAAGATATCTTGTGGGTGAAAATCATTTCCTGAATGTGCCCAACTGTATTCTTGGCATATTGTTTTATGCTATACAGATAGTGTTGTTCTGTAAGTAACAATTTAAGAAAAACATATGGTAAAAATATGGATGGACAGATAATGTGTCCATATTGTATATGTGAACAGTATTTCTTTTGTAAAAAGTAGACTTTTTAAAATGTAAAAAAAAATACTCATTTTGTAAGTTAAAGGAATTATCTTGCTTTTGAGTTATTTAGAATTACTCAGTAGATGCATGCTTGTAGAGCTGAAGATTACAAGTGAAATATTATCCAGTAGAATAAAATGTTATGTTCTATACAATTTTTTTTACATCAAGTGAGCCTGCAATTCAGTGATTTTACATTTCTAAAAAGAAAATTAATTGATGTGACATGAATTCCTTATTGTTAATACACATCAGCAGTAAGTTATTACTACATTTGATCCGGTGTTTTCTTTCTTTCTTATTTCCAGGTTTGAGTGACCATGCAATTGTGACATCATTCCTTTTCTACACGTCAGCCATAGCCATCATAGGCTCTGTGTATTTGGCTTATGTTCTTTTCCTTGTCCTACATGACCTTTGTCTTGTGTGTATTGCTACATACATAATCAATGGTCTTGTGTTCTACATCAATTACCAAAGGTTTGAGCAGTTGTCCTAAGAATTTTGACAGTCATGTTCCCAGTGGTTCTCCAAAAGAGCACTCACACAAGCAGAAGAAAGGTTTCAAGCTTATGATGTAACAGTAATAAGACAGTTGGCAGTCCAGCAGTAGCTCACTGTTGCACTTTGTTTAATATAATATGCCCATACTGCTTGGCAATGTATTGTGTATGAAATAATTAAAAGGTATACTTTATGCCTTTGAAAATGTTCCAGAGTAATATTTTTTATAAATAAATACCCTGCAAAGTTGCCTATCTTTCCCAATTTGGACCTTATAAGTGATAAAAACCCTTAAATAAAATTACCTGATGGCAGTTATAATAAATCAGGATCCATTTTAAACTAAGTTATTTTTGAAATTTTTTTTGGGTTAAAGTTAAAATTGGCACAAAACACCAAATAAGCTATGTTTGGTGAGTAGGAGAAAATAGCATTTTTCTCGATGAAAATTAGAACCAAAATCCCATATATAAAACTAGGTATTCACCCTGAGTTTTATTGTTGAATAATCAATAGACACTAACCCTGATTTTTCTATCATCAGCATGTCTCTGCCATTTTAGTTACAAATTATAGTGGTAAGTTTCCAATAAACTCAGGGTGTTTTAACTGCTGAATTAATTTCATGTTTGTATGAGCACTTAGTGCTACATGTATCCTGGTACTGCCTCAGCTATTAATCAGTAAGAGCTTTGAAAATTGCCTGATATTATTGCCTCTTATTGCACATTATTATTATTCAAATAATGTAATTTGCATAAATGGAAATCACTGCACAGCCTTACTAGTTCTTACCAATAAGCTCTTGTCCTTTATTTTTGGTAATTTAATGTTGCTTGTTTTAATTTTAAATTTATTTTTTCCTCTTGATATGTTATAACTTTGTATCATTATTATGTTTCTAAAAGTGGGATGAAGTAAAACGTAATGAAAGAACACAATGTTTGAAGTAAGTCCTGTGTGGAGGTCGAAGTATTTAGTTGTACTTGTGAGAATCGCATTTTTTGCAATATTTACCTCACTTTGCCAAAAATGGAACATTATCCTACCGTAAATGCTTTTTGCCATATTATTTCCTAAATTTAGATAAGCGTTTATAGTAGATAACATGTGACCAACAATAGTTGTGAAAGATGGTATGAAATATTGTCTAAAATTTGATCCATGCAATATCAGGAACATTTACCTTGTAGAAGTAAATGCCAAAGGTATTTCAATGTATGGTGCTTTAAATGTAAACAAAGGGTATATTAGGCCCCAGTTGTACTATATTTTCATATTTGTTTGCTAAGGATATTTTTTATCATCTGCTATGTGCACAGCACTGAATCTCAAAGTAGCGTTTTGGCTTTCTATGTTATAAACACTTTGATGTACACACCTAGCCATGTTGCTGATAAGTCAAATAAAATGACAATCAATGAATGTCACATAACACCATAAGTTTTGAGTGCTTTAAAAAGGTCATCTGTCTTGAGATCATTGTTCTGTTTAGAACAGTGACATTTTTATTTTAACTTAATTTATAAAAAATTAATTTCTATATATATTTAAACAACTTTCAAAAACAAATTGACCTACTATCACAAATGCAAATTATTCTTTTGATTGATATAAAATTGACCATAACTTCAATAATGCATTAAAAATGAATATGTTCATCTGAGCATCTTAGCAGCTGTAAGTGCATAACTCAATTTCTCGTTTCCCAGCAATTAATTTCACACTGGCCATTATTGAACATTAAAAAAATCAATTTAAGACAATTATTTTCACATTCAGTCACACATTTTCTTTGAACAAACTCAGTATAGTCAACTGTGCATTACTTCCATGTGGCTTTTGATTGCAGTTTTGGATCCCTTGCACCTCGTAAGCCTGGGCCTGTCATTCCCAGTTTACTCCTGGCATCTTGGTTCAGTAGGTCAGATTGGGCTAGTTCTTCATCATAACTGAAATAATAATTACAGCAACATTAATTATATCTACTAATATGCACATGCTAAATTTCCTCAAATAACAATTCATCCAATAGCATAATAAAAAATTTACAGTTTGTCAAGAAGGTTAATTATAAAAAATATATTTAATGACACCATTAATGCTGTTTATAGGAAAAATCACCATAACGTTGGTATGCAGTATTTCAATGTGACACATTATTGTATTTCAATAATAATAATAATAATAATAACAATAATAATAATAATAGCAGTCCAAATAATTAAATATAATAATCTATTTACTTACAGTAAATCAAAATTCCCCATGGCTTCTTTTGAAGGTGTTTTATTCCACCGGACACTTGAAAAGAAAAAAGTTTCTATCATACATACAATTTAAAATAAAAAAGAGTATATAATATTCAGTTGAATTTGATGCTGCACAGAATTTCATCTAGTTAAGCCATGATCAGTCACAACAAGGTAACAAGAATGACCTATTCAAAGAAAATTCTAACTGGAAAGATTTCTACTTTACGATATTGATAAAAGCAACTTATTCCCACAAAACTTTTTGTTTATTTCACCTTAATTCATTACTTAAGACAAGCATGAGGATATAATGAATGAACTTTACTCAGGAGTGCCTTCTGGTGGTATCACTATGTTGATCAGATCTGATATAAGGTTGTATTTCATGATCCTATCACTGGATGTTGTGGATGTGAGAGAAGGAGAGGCATTCACCTGAAAACATAAAACAAATGAAATAAAAATAAATAAGTGAATAAATAACAACAAGAAGCACGATCACACATTACACAAATCAGAGAATTTGTTTAAAAAAACGAATCCCTCATATATAGAACACAATCTATATTCAATAATGAAATATGAATTGTAGATTAAATTATTTAGAATATTAATATCAATATCATAATGAAAACAAGTCAACATCTTTACATTGCCTTTCTGAGGAAGGGCAGTTAATTTAAACTGCAAAAAAAAGAAAAAATATATATATAATACAGAGAAATAAGATGATAGTAAGGGAATATTTCACCATTAAATAAGTCTTTGGGTCATTTTAAATATCCTACCTCAATCAAATAAGGCTTCAGGTTGTCATCTATGAGGATGTCATACCCATAACACTCAAAACAGTGACGGTCATTTGCCATAACATTCTGAAAACATAATAATCAGGTAAAGAAAAATAGATGCATATGCACTACATTTTAAGAAAAAAATATGCATACCTTTTCTTTATGGCTCAGTAAATTTAATACTTCATATCTGCAGTTAGAGCAATTCATTCATTGATAAATCTAACTAAAAAAACCAACCCCAATAAAACTGAAAAGAGTATCGTAAGCGGCTTATGCAGAATTTGAATGATTTCTTTCATCAGGCATACTTACTGAGACTGCTTTAAGGGAATGTACTGTCATCCAATTCATTTCATCAAACAATTTGTCTGTTACCTAATGATAAAACATATCACTGTGAAATTGTAACATTATAGTACAAATGTGCTGTATAGCTCCTTTGTAAAACTATGCACAGTTAACAATGTGTTATCAAAGCTTATTTATTTAAAAATGAGAAAGTGTAGGTTTAATTGTCTCTGTGTTTATAAGATATTAGAATAAATATGACAAATCACCTCTTTGCCACGTGTTCCTTCTAGGAAAAGTCTTAAGTTAGCTACTGTCCATTTCCCTCCATGTACGGCATTATATTCTGCCTTAAAACATACAAACATACATTTCAAATTATATGATAAAATTTGAAAATAACTTCAGTTAAGTAGTGATATTAGTTGTACATTATGGTTTTATAATTATCATCATATGATTATCATGCAGGTAAGATTTTATAGAAATGATAAGATTTATAAAAACTCAATAAATAATGATTTATGTCTCCTCATTAACCCAAGCGAAAGGATAAGTAAATGACAGACACAGATATAGTGTTCGAAATTTGGCCGGTAGCGGCTGCTTTTATTGAAAGGTCCCTCTAGTAAAGAATGGTGTTAGATATTATATAGCATTAGATAATGTTAATTAGTTAAAATTACGTAATGTTATATCATAAAAATAAATATCAAAACAAATAGTGCAAATATTTTCATTTGTGGGGTTGCAAAGAGGCCAACAATTGCAAGCAGAAAAAAGAGAGAAAAATACAAATCAAAATAACGTAAGCTGAAATAATGCACGCCGACCAATTTAACATTTTAGAGACTTTTAATCCCTCCAGGAAAGAAAGTTTCAGCATGTCATATGAAAATATGAAATACAATGTTGGATTTTTTGTTTTACTCACCCCATGTTTTTGAATGGACACATTTGTGAGATGGACAAACATATTGTCCAGGTCTGTCACATCAGCATTGTATTTGACTGTACAGAATCGACAGAAACCTAATTTTAACCTGAATGTAAAAAGAAAATACTTTGCATTACCAGTTTAAATATTTCAAATAAACCATAGACAAGTATAAAGTAAGAGGATGAAAAACACTGATTCACATTAACCTTTTTTCTTAAAAAAAAAAAAAGATAAAGGATAAATGATGTTGACACATGTGCAATCTGTGTTATTATTTCATATTTTCAGTGACAAAGACATTTTCTGATAATATCAATGACACAGTACCTTTAAAGCCTTTCATTATCAATACATTTGCCTTTCAAAATTGCCTTGAAGGTATTCAATTCACAAAATTCTGTGAAAAAAAAGCATGCAGAGTTCTAAACACATATGTACAGCTGCTATAGATTCTGTTCCTATTCCACTTACATGTAACACTTGAGTGGTCTGAAAGATGTGACCAGCACGTACAGACGTAGATCAAATTTCTTTCCCCCAATCAGAAGAGGATTATCAATGTATTTGCCTATCACATATGTATCTTTAGCAGAGGGTGCAGTAAACCTGAAAAGTCAACATATTTATTCATTTAAAGAGGATCACAAAAAGGTCAGTAAAAACATTTTAACATGTGGTATATTGTAACCTTTTAAAGGGGGTATGTGGAACTGTTTGTGTCTGCTTGTTTAAAGGTACATACGAACCAAGCATTGGTGGAGCGTGGATTCCCAGTAACACATGTAAACCACTTCTACTAGTTTCTTATACGACTCTAATAAATTCGAAATGCCAAGGGATAAACTGAATAAATCACCCGATCAGCCATAAAAGAGCTTTAGAGTGCTCCTTTCTTTAAATTTTCGGTTGTCAATTTAACCTACTTTCGTGACCTACTTTTCTGCCCCATTGACATACAGCATAGAATGCTAGCAGAAAAATCTGTTCAAACATCACTTTCCGGTAAAATTAAACAATGCCTTTTGGCAATTCTCTTAGTTATGCTACTTGAAACTATATGCTGGCATTTGGTTGGTTTTTATGACAAAAAATTGACTTTGTATGTATCTTTAAATGAATTTATAACAAATGGTTGCAGCTATGATGTGGATGGTGTCGATGTGATGTTAGCTGCATGTTTTGCATTTGAGGTTGGCACAAGCAGCAACAGACTGCAAAGTCAAAGACTATGAATGTAAAAATAATGTCTACAATTGATCTGTAAACTAAGTTTTTGTTTCTCTCTACCAGAGGCTTTTTATACTGTTTCATCAGTTACAAAATTGATTAAAAGATCCTTGTCAAAAGTCTCAAAAGTAAATTACTTCTCATGTAGTATGTATTACTGCAATTCAAAATGCACTTACGTGTTTGTTTTACTGTCTCTTGACCACTTCTTCAGCTGAGAAAGTCTGTTAATTAGGAAAATGCCAATTCCTCGAGCTGAAAAACAAAATGAATTCTGTTTAACATTGCTTGCAAGCAAAAAATACCATGTGAAAAAATAATTTGTTGAGTGAAGGGCTTTCAATTTTCCCATTGATATTTTGCATTTCTATGTTACTAATTATTAATTTCTTCATCAATTATTCAGTAACTAGTTTTCACAAGTAGTAATGTTCAAATTTGTCCACACCCTTTCCACATGGTTTCATGATCCAAGTTGTAGATGGATTTTTCCTAAATTCTTCCACAAATAGGTTATAGTCTGCAGGAAGCATAAATGTGGTTGGGAAAAAATCTGAAGAAGAAATGTTTTCATGTGGATTGGCATGATCTCTCTGAAATGAAAACTGCTCACACAATTCAGGATTTTTCAAGAGTTTAAAAATTACTGAAGAAAATTTGTTAATTTGAAATCTTTACCGAAGGCTAATAGAAAAATATTAGAACTAAAACAAATTTGTGTGCCAAAAAGTGTACGTGTACCAATAAAAATAACAATAGTAATGAAATATGCACAGATGCTAAAGCATAAATTTCTGCTTAAATAAGAAGTAAGCCTATACCTAAATGAATGTGCCTTCCTAGCTCATCCTTCTCAGCAAAGGGGCTCCCTTCCCTTTCCAAATCTTTCCTGTATCTCTTGATATTCTTCACCATCAGATCTTTCCTAGTGAGCTCATAGTGATTTGGGAAATGATTGATGACTCTGAAAATAAATATCAGGTGCTATAAAGGTACTAGTAACTACATACCAAGATAAACCAATGACAGCTGACCCTTTCTAACATTTAAACTGTTAACTTTAATTTCTAATTAGTGAGCCTATGAACTCTGAACGTAAAAACATTTCTGCTTCTAACAACTATAAGCAGTGAATTAGTTTAATTTTTTTGATAGTATACAACAGATTTATCGACATTTTGTAATTTAATTATCACACAATAACTACTTCAACTCATATCACCATGGTTGTAATTGTACATACTGGTCATCACACAATCTGTAACCATTCTCCACACTGAATACATTCCTGATGCTCTGCACACTGGCCCTGGAAATTCAAGTTTTATAATGTAATATTTTTTCAAATCAAAGATATATGTTTTCTTCAACAATAACTATTTACATAAACAATTAATAAATGATTAAAAAATGATAAATGTTATAATACAAATCATATTCAACTGATTGCTTTATGTTAGTAAATATCAGTAATTGTTCACATTGATGAGTAAACTATACATGTTGTACTTATCAAATTGCGGATACAGGGTTTCAAGTTTCTTGATCAATCAATAATAACTGCTAAAAGGCTTTTATCATATAACGCAAATACTAGAAACACTAATCAGCCTTTATAGATAAATTACCAATAGAAGTTCCAATCTTCATCAGGACTGACTTGAATCCATCCTCTTCTATCAAAGTTGTTCACTAGTACAGACTTGTCCAGATCACAGGCATATTTGAGCCTGGGCTGTCCCTGTGTTGCCATATCTACTGTATTGCTTATGAGCCCCGTTCTTCTAGAATCAATCCAATGCTCATTGGGCATGTTCATACATATTTGCCTCAGTTTCCAGCCTTACATGCTAGGTATAACCTTACTGCAGTGCAGTAAGGGTCCAAGGTACCTACTTGTACATTGTATAGTATGTAAGGCCGAAAACTGAGGCGACGGTTAAATCAAGGAGTTATAACAGTAAATCAATAATAATAAAGAAATAACGATAAACCTTAATTTCATGCATGATTACTCACTGAAAATCATTGATAACCCAAATGAATGGAGGAGGGCCAGGCTAGCAGGAAAATTCATGCATTAATTAGCACTTCCATTGACGATTTTCTTTTTAATTAATGCTAAGGCCAGGCCTGTAGCCGGAGAGGGGGGGGGGATTCGAAAGAATCCCCCTTTTTGCTGGGAAAAGGTCAGAAAAAAGAACCCCCTTTCCCTTTTGAAATTGATGGCTACGGGCCTAAGGGGGTTGTTGCCTTGTTGGTGTTAACATATATAACAAGTTGACTTGCGATTTGCAGTTGCACTACAGGTACTGTAGCTAGATTATGATTATTGGTACTTGATTTGATACATATGCATTTTCAATATTCCCAATGAGCAATTCTGTATGGTTTTGATACCATGTTCATATAAATACTTACAAAACTCCCACAAAATGTTATACCACGTAGCGTAAATGCAAAGATCTATTTTGTTTACATGTCTCCACTCTCTTCGACTCCATATTGATTCAAGTCGAGATCTCGCGAAGTATTGTACGAGTAAATTAGTAAGATAATTAATCATAACTGTTATCTGAAAAAAAGTAATAAAATTCAAATATTACTGACAGTATTTTATATTTCATTTGTGTAGTCTACGAATATTGAATGTACAGTTTTCCACCAACAAAGGCTCATTTCCAATGTCAAGATGGCGGCGTCCACGAAAGCTGAATCCGGTTCAAAGGCCTCACCAAGAAAACAAAAATATGACGCAGGTAGTTACCCAGCAAGCCCTCTTGGGGCCACCCCAAGAACATCACTACCCCAGAGATACAACTTACCATTTTCAAGCTATAGATTAACAAGAGATGAAATTTCACAGGAGTGGAAAAGCGCGACCGAGCACACTAAAAGTATACTGAGTTCACCTATCAAGAAAAGTCACCTGAAGTGGCCGTGTAAGCACTAGTGGAATGTATAGGAAGAATCTGTAGAGGATTTACTCACATGTAGTTTGATTACTAATAATCATTTCCTGCACTAGCTATTCCTGATCACCCCAAGTCGATACGTTTCCAATTCAGTAAATTGGATATGCACAACATCTGGCTTTAATTCGAGTGAATGGGAGGTTTTGTTACCCAGGAATCCTGCCCCCCGTTTCGTGATGAGGGCGATACACTTGTGACATCTTCAACAGCCCAGCTTAACGTTTATTCCCATTTTATTATACTTTTAAAAATTAAATGAATTTATATATCTCAAAATTATATTTCTTAATATTTTGATAATTGCAAAAATTTTACCCTTCACAAAGTTTACACACGTCTTGCCAAATACTTACCCTTTGTTCATCTTCTGTAGAATTGATACAGTAGTATACATGTAATATTGCTTTGTTGAGAAAAAAAAACTAATGCACATTTTTTATATAGAACATCTTACTCTTCTAACTTCTAAGAATGAGCTTTTCATGTGTTCTGTTTAGTGAGTCTCTTCATGAAATAGTATGCATTATTCTCAAAGAAATACCATTCTTTAACATTTAGGTCCTAATATTTTTACTTTATTTATTTATTTATTTATTTATTTATTTATTTATTTATTTATTTATTTATTTTTTGCTTGCATATGCTTGTTCTTTGATTAAATGGCTAGGATTAAGCCTGGCATAATTCATTTGATAAAATGACTAATTAGTTTTTGACTTACACTCTGTGCCTTTAATAGGATTTTAAAATAAATGCCTTTCTTTTATATTGATTTTTGTGAGAAAAGACTTATAAATGTATGCAATGAAGGGGTTATTTGTTTTTTATAACATTTTGAAAAACTCCATGCAACTACATGTAAATCTTGATAAATGTCTGGGGCACTATCAGGTGATATTTATGTTAAATATGCATCCATTATACTTTTTTTTCTTTTTCAGTTGATCATGTTGATTCCAGTGAAGCATCAAAAGAAGCAGCTGAAGAGGATAGCACAACAAAGTCCTTCATTTTACTTGCTCTTATTTTCTTGTCATCCCTGGTAGCTTTACTGATGGTTTATTTCAATTTCCCTAAAATGCAAGAGTAAGGATATTTTTATTGAAAGATATTGTTAGATTATTAAATATTAGTTTTATATAGCTGATGATATAGTGCTTGATATATGTTAATTCTTGAACTGTTCTTTTACTTAATGAGGAAAATATGAATATCATAGTACTCTTTTTTATAAGTTCAAAATCTTGCTTTGTGTTAACTGTTTTTAATAAAATGACTTGATAATGGTGATTGGCCAGTATTGAGTAAGATATTTTATATTCAGAGATGAACTCAGACATATCAAGCTACCACGAGATATTGAAGATGCCAAGAATTTAGGCAGAGTGTTGGACAAATATACAGACAGGCACTTTTATAGTGTTTTCTTTGGCTATTTTGTAACATATATTTTGTATCCTTTAAAAGAACATTATCACTTGTGTTGATATTAGGAGAATTAATGTAAAACTTAGTTACCAATTGACGGCGAGCTTTTGAAACTTAAGAAAGATTTATCTTGTTTGAGATTAATATTTATACATTTAATAAGGGTAATTGAAGTTTGTTGATTTATTCATGTCTGTTACACTGATATGGCTTCTTTTATACAGCAGTATTATTCATCATGAACCTTAACAGAACATCAGTTTGCAATCCTTTGCAATACCAGGGTCCATATTCCTTAGTATTCTCTCGGGATATTTATTTCCTTATTACCTGTCATTATTTACAGTTTGTATGGTAAGCTTAAAAACCAGTTGCTGTTATTATTGGAACATCGATCATAATGCCATAATTTCTGTTATTAAAATATACATGAACTAAAATCTTTAACTATGCGGATTTAAACAAACGATTGAATATTTTAAAAAGTAAACTCCAACAATATTATATGCTTATTATTTTGAATAATTTCAAAAAATTATAGAAAAGTTGTATCAAATTGTAATCCAGACATTATCTTTGAAATCCTTTTGAACTAAAATGTCATTTTGATTTAAAAATATTTTTTTCTTAGTTTAGTAATATTAGTTATTTAACCAACAAACAAAAAGTTATTTCAGTCTAATTGACATTATCGCTAATTTTTATTGAATTCTAGTGCTCAGGTATAGGTGCATCATTCTGTTATTTGCTCTCCTACCTTGTGGGGAGACAACTGGTGCAAAAATACATACCAGAGAGAGTGGCAGAGTGGAAGAGTCATGTAAGTTGAACTATTGCCAGATTGGCCTTTGTGTTGAGAGTGTGTTTTTACAAGATTTTAAAACCTTTTCCTTTATTTAAGACCATTAGACTTAATGATGAAGAGGATTTAAAAAAAAAGAGAAATAAAGTAAATGACAAACATTGCGTGAAAATAACTGTGTTATTATGTAGACTTTCTTCTCATTATTGCAGTAAATGGGCAGTGGTTGGAATCCTAGTACCTGTCAGTAAATTACTATTCATTCCAGGTCATAAGGCATAGGGAGCATCTTTTGAATTACATCATATTTCTGAGGATAACACCATTCCTGCCTAACTGGTTTATAAACATTACCTCTCCAGTAATAGGTGTACCCCTACTACCTTTTTTCGTAGGCACCTTCATAGGTGAGTATGTTCAGAAAAATTTTTTGTATAGTACACAAGATACTGGGTCTGAGAAAAAAACTTGTTTTTTCTTTGTTTCAAATGTGATTTTTATGAAACAAGAATTATATCAGTGTTTAATTAAAGGTTTGTCTTCCAATATTTTACAGGAGTAGCTCCTCCTTCAGTAGTAGCTATACAAGCTGGGACAACACTTCACCAGTTGACATCCTCCAAAGATGCCCTGTCCTGGACCTCTGTGATAGTCCTGGCTGTACTTGCTCTCCTCTCTCTGCTGCCTGTGGTCTTTAAGAAGAAACTGAGGGAAAAATTTGACTAAAATGGAAGTATAATATTTATAAACTGTTGACATAGTGCACAAAACTACGACCAGCATAGGTAGTTTCCTTAGTAGAAAGGGGACTTGACCCAGTGTTGTAGACGTAAATTATACAATAAAACCATTTATAGTTCAGGGTTAAGGAAAAATATGCTTTGTGTCCCAATAGCAATAAAAAAAAATACAGGGGATGTTTGGATATTTGATTAAAGTTGATGGTTTTCTTTATTGGTTTTGAACCTGGGTGTCAGGTTTCTAAAACAAATACCTACAAAATTTGAACTATGAATAACTCATTTGTCTCATTTGAAAGGATGCACAATTTGTGCACATTTTACTTACAGTAAAAATTTGTGGAAAATTATATCATAAAGAGTAATTCAATTAAAAGTGCACAAAGATGGAATAAAAAGACTTCACACACTAATTGAAGAATGTTTAGGAACAATGGATATCATGGTATTTCAGACTTGGCATTCATTCCCTGTGAATTTTCCGCATTTGTAGCTTTTTTTTTTTTTTTACTTATTAAGTGTGTTTCATATTTTAGGGGCACCCCCAAACCATAAACACCAGTCATTCCAATGCTTGTAACTTATTCCTGCCCTACATAATCTCTTCAGGCTTCATTTTGTCTTTGAAAGTTTTTTTTTCTTCGTATACTTGCTCTTTTGAGATCTCATTAGGTTTTGTTAAAGCTATATGAAATGCATATGTGCAAATTTATTAGTACTTTTGGCAAAAACCTTTCCATAGGATTGAGATATTAGTTATGCACAAGTAAAGCCAAACATAAACCTCTCACATTTTTTTATCCTCTGAAAACAGGATAAGACTGTGGAATAGAAAAAACAGACGGCAGGGAATTTTTCATGTGGTTTGAAACAAAACATTCTGAATGTGGTAAAGCTATATCTGGTCAGAAACTTATCTTCCAAAATTTCTTTAAATAGCAGATAGGAGTAAAATTCTGTAAAATGGATTTTCTAGACCAACAAAGGTTTATGCATTTCAACAAAGCAGTGAAAGTTTTAATTAACCTTCAACTTATACTTTTTGAGAAGGAAATTAGATGCATCTGCTGTTGGTCCTGTAAATGTTGTAGTCTGTGTAGAGTATGCTGTAATAAATTAATATGTTGAACCTTTTATATCTCTCTTCAGCACAATTAACTTCTAACTAGTATTACCAGATGAAGAGAGTTATTAAATGATAACATCCTGAGTGCTTTTGTAAGTGTGCAATAGTCATGAATCTTCATAAGGTGTTGTGGTATTATTATTATTTTATATTCAGAAGCGGTCAAAGTCATTCACAGGAAATGTTCTTTCAGTAGGGTCAGGTTCAGTTGAATGTTTGTAAGGTGCAGGTATTGAACATTAAAACATTTTGAATCTGAAAGAAGTCCTCCTTTTAAGTGTGACAGCATGTTCGTGAAATAAAAATAATCAATTCTAGATTTTTTTTTTACTTTTAGAAAACAGAAGATGGATTAACCTAAATTAAAGCATATAGAATTTGTCAACATAGGTTGCAACACTAAATGTATGAAAGAACAGACTGCTACATTTTATTTTTTCGCAGGTATTTATTAATATTTGTGTACATCTATTAAAAATATAAATAAACATTTAAAACTTAATAATGTTCAGTTTCCTTTCTCTCATGGAATGTGTAGAAATATAAAAAGCTGACACTTTTCTGTCTATAATGATAATTGTAATATTATGAAATATATTTTCTTCAACTTGTACTATACATCAGTTTTATCTTAGTTCACATTTACTCCAATATATTTTACAATGTAACAAGAAAAAAATATGAAAACAAATAAAAGATTCAGCCAATGTATCAACAAACAAAATATACCTGAATGTTCTGCCACACTAAATGACAATGCAATTACATAACCACAGGAACTTATTTGAAGGAGGGCAAATTTTGAATTATCAATGAAGTAAAGAACATTTGTTGATTAAAAGTTGATTACTTTCCCTAGGCATGGATTTGTTACCATCCTACTGTATATTCAATTGACCCCATGAGAGAACTAATAAACAACATTGTATAATCATGAATTATTCCATATGAAGACATACAGTCAACATGTAATCAAGTGGTCAAGTAAAAATAAGCTGTATCACTAGCACCATTCTATAAAACTACTGTAATACTGTATAGCATATCTTAGAAGAAAGAACCCTTAAATGCAATACTTATTTCCTGGCTTTGAGGAACTGGGTAAGACGATGCCCTCCAAAATTCATCACTGTAAAACACTGAAACAAATAAGACCAAAACCCTGTGTTTTTAAAAGTGAAAATAAAGAAAAAAATAAAAATCTCATTAGTACTGGTCTGACACCCAATGTTATTTACATTTTCTGAATCTTCATGTTACCAAGTAGCACATCATTTAAACTTGGTAGTGATTATGCGGTTAAACATTATGTAATATTGCCACAAAATTGACAAAAACTATACTGTGCAATAGCATTATTTTCTGCTTTGTGTCTATACATTTGCACAAAATTCAATAATAAGAGGCAAAATGGATATAAGATGGTTCCCTAAAAACTTCAACTGTCATACCACAAAATATCAATGGAATTCACATTTACTTACATATATCTCTTTCCTTTAGTGTGATCTCAAATTTCTTGCATTCACCCAAGCAGTTTACAGATGGAAGTAATATCAGTCTTCTTGAACCTTGCCCTTGGGCATACCACACATTGGAGAACTGGGCCAAACTCTAATAATATTGTAGTAAAAAAAATGTGCTCTTTATTTAAAAAAAGATGCATTTGAAACAAAATGTCAAGTCAAATCTCTGCGCAAAACCCAACCAAATGCCACCATTTAGTTTCAAATAGCATAACTTGAAGAAAATATCAAAAAGTATCTTTCATAACTGCCCCCCCCCCCCACCAAAAAAAAAAAAATGAATTGATATTTTCTGTTTTTTTATGTGCTATGTATAACCCTCTGTTCTTTACAGCGCGCAGCTACAACCAAACATCGTCAATTAAGAACAATACTTTTATACTCATTTTAGCTTCACAGAAACCATCTCTTCAAAGCACTGCATACAAAAAAAGATAAGTGATTGAATTTCAGGTGTTTTGACAAGATTATAAGATGTCTCACAACACCATGCCTTTTTGACAAAAAAAAAAGTGTCCCTTTCAATACAACTTACAAATTTATATGGTTTGGCTTTTGGTCCATCGACAAACACAAACTTCTCTAAGGCGACTTCTGTTTCAGCAGGGACAAAATGTGGTCTATGAAACAGTCTCCTCAGCACCTGAGCACCAGCAACCTTTCTAGAGACACTAAAAAAAAATAAATAAACTACACCATCTGAATGAAGTAAATGACCCAACATTGTAATGTACTGTCAAATTCACATTTAAATTTAAAAACTGACATACACCCAAACAGATGCATCCTCATCTAGAGTAAATTAAAAACTTTACACTCATGCTTTTTACGGAGTTTATTGTAAATGTGAATGGTTTATTAACTTTTAAACTATTTAGCATACTTTTCTTAGACTTGATAAAATATTATCAAATACAATGTGGCTTGGTTATTAAAATTAAATAATTATCGAATTAAGCACTTTCCAAAGAAATGCTGTTAAACAAAGGCAACAGTTGCACCTAATAAGCCTACAAATTACATATAATTCATCAACTGTATAGAAGTATATGGATTCATTTCAATTTACAGCTGCCTGTGCTGTTAAAGAAGAAACTTACTATTCTGTGTGAAACATGTCACCAATCTGCTTTTGCAATTCAACAGGACTGTTGACAGCAAACAAATCTTTAAAAGACCTGAGAGACATTTCATTACTTCTGAAATTCATCACAGAAGCCTGAAGTTTTTCTGCATTCTCTTTGTATGCTGTTCTCAGGTCTTCAAATGTAACAGGTTGTCCAAGAGCTTGCTGCAATCAAAAATAATTACAACTGATGATCTTGATGATTTTTAAATAATTTTTTTTTTATTTTTTCATCAATTTATTTTAAAAAATAATGATAAAATTGACGAAATAAGAAATAAGAGGGTTCTTCAGTTAAGCTGGTTTGCCTACAAGGTCGATTGAAATACCAGGGATGGTTACCTTTTCAAAAATATTGTTTCTTAGTAACTGTTGCTTCTTGTTGAAGTTTTAACTTACAGTAAAATATAAGGAAAATAATATGAAGAAAAAGAAAAAAAAGAACAAGGGGCAGAGAGATAAAATGAAGACAATTATTTGCAAGCAGCAGATTCAGAGGTAAACATACTCTGTTAATAAATGGCTGTGCTGGATTGTTCACATCCAAGTCTGCGTATTGAGATCTTTCTTCTATCTCTTTGACATAACTGCAGAGCTCACAACTAGTCTCTGGCACACGGAAGTAAGGATTGTAGATGAGACATTCTTCTTCATAAAATCCTTACAGAGAAAAAATTAACTAATTTTTAAAAATGTAATAAATAAACCATTTACAAATTTTGTAACACATTTCAAAATTTCAACAAATGGTTAATAAAAAAAAACAATTTTGTTTTTATTATAGTTAAGTGGACAGCAAGCAATGCTATGTTCATTGATCTGCAACTGTATATCTAAGGAAATTTAATATATGCATGGCATGTAAACCCCATAGCTTTATCTTTACTTTCCAGCTCAACGGACCAGAAAATCATGCTAGAAAATTATATGTGTGTTGTAACACTATCTCTTATATCCTACAACTATGGATGGTATTCTTCATTTGCAAGTTGCAACACATATATGTGGACAGTGTCTTCCAACCAATTATTCATCACAGCTACATAGTCAACCATACAGACCAGTAAGTACATGTAAATACAACTTCTCATTGTTTACTTCACAAAACTTCACAACTGTCTTTGATTGTTTTTTTCCAGTGAGCAAAACACCATGGTGAGAAATTGCGTTTTGAGAGATTTTATAAATATTGGGATTTGTAGACTTTGCACTTGCTTTTAGTAAAACACACTCTCACATATGTGTAAAAACAAGAAAAAAATCCAACTGGAGCAACAATAGCATTTTCGTACTTCCTCTTTTTCAGAGCTAAGAATCAACTTCAGTCATGAGTAATTACAAAGTTGGACATGTGTGAAAGGTAAACAAGTCACAAAAAAAGCCAAGATATATCTAGTAACTAAGCTAAAAAGTTCTGAAAATCATGATTGGTGGACTTTTTCAACACATGTCCAGAACTTATCTTCACATAAAGCAGCTATAAAGAAGTTTAAGAGCTAAAATGTGTTTCTGGCTGCATGAAAGTGATATATATATATTTATATGCTACATTCATACCACAGCACATGTTCTTGCCCTGAAATCCTCTTAATCTTGGTGAGACATTCTCCCTCAAAAAGTTCATATTTCTTACAAAATAACAACAGGAAACCACAATGCACATGACTCCGCTGTTCCTCTTGACTTTTTATGTACAAAGAGCACAGTCCAGGTTTGAGCAGATCCTAAAGGTCAGTCTATAGCATTATTTTATTTTATTTGGCTTTTTCTACATGTTGTTGTGCTCTGGCCATCTGACTTAAAAAATAAGCACATGTAATATATTTTAAAACTATACAAATCTTTTTCTGAAGTAATTCTTTATTCTTGGGACATTCATCTTTGTATTTAAAAATCTTGAAATGTACAATAGGATCTCTTTTACTAGTTTTAGTACTTTCTTTTAGTCAAACTGTGCATCATAACTGCCATACTGACATGGATTATCATAAAAAAACCAGCAACCTGCCCATCATCTATCATGGTGGTACTTTGGTGGGAAACAGTTTCCACCCACAGCAGAGCCTGTTAAACACCAACGGGCATTGCAATGGGCAGAGATCTTTATTGCAACAGTGATGTCAATGCTAGATTGATAGCTCCCACTTGTCTCCTTACCCCCTGCAGCGATCAAAATACACATACAATGGCTGCCAAAAACTAGAAATTATCATTCTATTCAAATCTTTATCTCAAAAAGTAATGAACCCAGTTATGATTTTTACTCCTTGAAATATGTCAATCCTTTGAATAAGTTTCATTTTTACAATTAGCAATGTGGGGAGAGCTCAAGCAACAAAAAAAATGACACCTTAACATTTCACAATTGCCATCCATGCATAATTATTGACAACTAATTTCAAAATTACGTGACTTACAACAACAGAAATCAATAGAAATGACCCTGGGTACATGGTTCCTAAACTTGAAATTTTTCCACCTATGACTTTAGCTCTTATTCATTGTGGAATTAGTATATCAAATTACAATCTTTTAAGTGTTACAACACTCAATATAATGAAATGTCAGTCAGCACCACCACAAAATTGCTCTTTGGAGAATGTTAACCTTTTGACTAGAGGTCATTTATTTTTTTAACTAATTACATTTTACCCAAGGCATAAATCTATAAAACTGCAAAAAAGTAAAAAAAAAAGTCTAAATTTGAGCATTAATAAACAAACAACTTTTTTTTTCAAATTCCATGACCTCCAAATCTAATTTCTAGGCAAATAAACATACAAATCACTTACTTAGAACACATAACAGTTAATCGTGAAAAGAAATAAAAAGATTTGATTAAATCTTAGACTGCAATAACACAGTGTAATCCAAATCACCATTAACCTGTCACTTGGGAAATGAAAGTCAAGTTTCAATAATTCAAACATTTCCCAGCAACTTAATTAAAAGGCTAATGGCACAGGCAATAACTTCCCAACCTTGGCTGTCAATCAATGTGTCCTTTAACACGCACATACTAGAATAAAGATATATATTTGCCTTGTAACCACTGAACAATTCCTAATCCACTATATATTCATCCAGAGATGGCTGAAGGTAAGATACATCTTCACAAAATTATAAATCTTTATAATTTATCATTAAAAATGTTCCTAAAATATAGGCAAACTCTCAGAGTCCAGTTGATATCCCCTGAAGAGCGATCAATACCCTGTGGGCACATTTGTCAGAATAATGTTGCAGATTTATCATGCTGAAAAGTAATATATCAGTTCATTACTTACTGATGTATCACCTTGTGTAAAAGCCAATCGGTCTCAAGTATAACCATTGTTGCTTTTGCTTGAGACTGATTGACTAATTATCATACCTCACAAAAATTAATTTTTTGATAGTGCTTACCAACATGTACAGACTTATTTGGATAAAATATCATTTTGCACTGCTTAATATGTTACAAATTAAAAAAATAAGACTTTGCTTCATTTTCAGATCAAATGGATGACAAACTTACATTAATGAACAAGGTTATAATTTAGGGCAAAACAAGCTCAAAATGGCTACATTTCCTCATGTACCAGTACATTTAATCACACTGACTATAATGCTGTTATTTGTACCTGGAAGGCTAGGCAACATGGAAACTGACAAAAACTGTTATGTGGACTTAGCCCAAGTTTTTTTCAGGTATTGTCAAGCACATTCCATCACAGCAACTTCAGATAACTTTGTTACTTACAAGAATCCTGAACTCAGTACATGGAAAATTGGACTATCTAGATATATTGAAATCAACATTAATGGTACAAAGATAAAAGACAGAAAATATTATAATAATTATCAAGAATCTCTTGATGATAAGCCAAATCAGAACAGGAGAGACAAACCCTATAAACTAGCAATGAGAGCATATGGGCATGGATTAGGAAATAAAATGTTCATGTATGCTTCAAGCTTTGCTGTGGCTCAGTGGAACAAGATGGAATTCATTTACGACAATCCAAGAAAAGAAATAGAGAGTATTTTCCAGCCCACAGCAAGGATACTCCACTATGAGCCCAATCTCACTGACAGCTTTCTTCAACTGAAAACCTACACCTGCTGTGAGTTTTATCCTGCTTTAAAAAGTCTCCCTCCAGAGAACATTCACCTGTCTGGCTACTTACAAAGTTGGAGGTACCTAGAACCATGGGAAAAAGATGTACGAAGGGAGTTTACATTTCAAGACCACATACAGAGCACAGCCAGAGAGAGCCTCTTAAACATGGTTGCTCAGCTGACTGAGACATCAGAAAATCAAACTTTTATAGGGCTTCATGTTAGAAGAGGAGATTTCACCTACGACCAAAATCTGATATCCCATGGCCACAAAGTTGCTGATGCAGCATACATTCATAGAGCAATGGCTTACTTTAAAGACAGATACCCTGATTCTATCTTTATTGTCTGCAGTGATGAAATGCCATGGTGTAAAAAGAATATCCCAGACACTGATGGCAATGTAGTTTTCACTGAAGAAAGTAACCCAGCGTACGTAGACCTGGCTATTCTCTCCCTGTGTAATCACACAATAATGACAGTGGGGACTTTTTCATGGTGGGCTGCCTGGCTTGCTGGGGGAGAAGCCACTTACTATGCTGACTGGCCACAGCAAGGGTCAGGATTTGAAGGATCAATGAATAAGAGTGATTATTTTCTGCCTCATTGGATTGGACTGTGAAATAATTAATTTCTGTGATAGAAAGTTAATCATTGGACATTTTCTAACATTCTGATATTTGTTAAACCTGGGACCCATTTCACCAGCTCCTGGCTGCAGCTAGGTATATCACAATGCGCCAGGGGCGCCACAGTAGCCACTGTCCAGCTGCAGTACTGGCAAAACTGTGACCAGCCTGCTCACAGGTTGCTTGTGACATCCCTTTCAAATCTCTCTTTTAGAGCTGTGTAATTTATACCATATAAAAGTTCAGGAAATTTTACAATCTAATGGGGAAAAAAAAACCTTTATGATAATTGAATAATGAGAAGTATAGTTAATCTGATGCGCTGGGCAGTGGTCACAGGTCTTTGGGTGTAATATAGCAGTTTTAAAAACTTCTATATCTTTGTTGCTTGTAGGAATATTTTAAAAATTCCAAAAGAATTGCAATCTGTTTTGCATTACCTTTCTGAAGATATAAATATTATATTTTTCTGATCAGTTTGAATTTTTTCTGATATACCCCAGTATCTATCCTGGCTTTTTCAATGCTGAATACCAACTGATGTTACATTCAAAAGTTCAAAGTTGAAAATGTATATTAGTATATTTTTTTAATTTCATGTAATTCTTACAGGTATTATATTGATGGCTACATCAAAGCTTTACATAGCACACAGTTTCCTTACACAACCATAAGTTATTTAGTGGTTTTTAAACATTATAACATATGACTAATGACCAGAGCTATAATCAAGTAAGTGAACGTGACCCTACCTGAAACCAAGTTTTAAAAATATCCATTATTCTTTCTAGCCCTAAATTTGCAAATAATATATTTTTTGCAAATAGTGATTGCTATTAATTATTCTGACACTGAATACATACATGTTAATAGATTAGGTACATGTACAGTATATGTATATATAGTTCTACAAAGTCCACTTTCTGTTGAAGACTATAATATGCATGTGCAATAACTCTCCTTTTAAAAATTCTAAAAATGTGTTATATGTGACCTACATGTAATGCAGCACCCAAGTAATACCTAAGGCTGAGGGGAATGTGTGGGAATTCTCTGAATGCTTTACTTACTTGTTATGTTTGTATTCTTTGTGACCGGAAGAAACGCCAGTCGTATCGCTCTAAATATTGTATACCCATAGGGCGCAAGAACTCTTCCCATAAAAAGCTGCACACCTTTATTGTGAGTCACAACAAAAGAAAATGTTATCACCAATAAAAACAGTATCGCACAAATGAAAAATGAATACTTCAAGAATCTCATCAACAGAGAAAATAAAGTACGATCTTCTTTATGATTTATTCTCTGCTTGGTCGCTTGTATCATGCAAATGTCAATCTCCTTTTCTGAGAGTCCGAGTTCGAGGCCACGTTTCCGAAGATTTTCTATTTTGAAGTCGAGTTCTTTGAAATACTTCTCTTCCTCGTTTGCCATTTTGCCAACACAATGTGTGCGACACCTATCGTCTCAACTACACAAGAAGCGCCACTGAAAAAAAGTGTGAAAAAATAAAGTGACCGTTATACTGATAACCACATATGTATTCAATGTCAAAACAAAGCTGGACATTTACTAAATTCTCTAAAATGCATGAAATATCAACAAAACCGTGATTTACGTTAAACGCCAGGGGCAGACTCCTTAATCCAAGTCTCGATTTCAAACCAACTCTTCGTTACACTGGCACCCTGAGTATAACAAGGAAGTTCGCTGCGTTAAAATCATTTTCCTTAGCCTATCCGCTTAGATAATGCAATAAATAAATAAATAAATAAATAAATAAATAAATAAATATTATCATGCTATGAGAAATTGCTGTGGCATCAAAAATCTTCATTTGTTTATTAATCTATTTATTTATATTTATCTACAGTATATTTAACTGTAAAATCGCTTTCAAGCAGATCTCCCTTACCTAAACAGCTATAAACGCCTTTTTAACCACAACAACGAGGACAATGAGCAGAAGGGAAAAACGTTGGGGTGGTTAATAAAACAACAGTTTTTACTCAAAAAGTGTTTTCTTTTATCCAAAATTCTAATTTCAAGAGGGGACCATTGGTGTGTTTTTTTTTTTTTTTTCAGAAATCGGGGGGGGGGGGGGGGCAAGACCCCCCTGACACTCCCTAAATCCGCCACTGCACTAAGAGTCAACGGTAACTGCAAACTCCCCTAGACTTTTTTTTAAAAATGTATTTCAATTTTAAACAAATTTATCTATAAAGTCTATATAATTGATTTTACAATTTACATATTTGAAAAATTTTCATTTTTAACGATGCCTAGGCCTGGTGATAGAAGTGAACACATCAGACCATATATATACCCGGTATATATATATATATATATATATATATATATATATATATATATATATATATATATATATATATATATATATATATATATATATATATATATATATATATATATATATATATATATATACTAGTATATGCAAGTGCATTTGTAAGAGGGTCGTTCAAATATGTACTAAGAGCTAGCCTTACACAAACAGAAAAGCCATGGCTGAACATTTTGTTTTGGTAACATACATGAACTGCCACTTAATTATAAAAACATACTACGGAAAACTGCAGTATCACGTATGTAGATCTCATTCGAGGACAAGGGGGGAAAAACATGTTTGAAAAAATTAGAAAACCGGCATGAATTTAGATGGAATGGTAATCGGTACTTTTCCACCAGATTTTTTGTCCTAAAAATGTCACCAAACTGTAGCCGAACAATTTAATTGAGACGTATCCAACTACAAATGTTTTAATTTTTGAGTGGGCAATTTTAAACAAACAAGAAAAATCAAAATGTACAGTTCAATCTTTGTGTGTGTGTGTGTGTGTGTGTGTGTGTGTGTGTGTGTGTGTGTAAATTTAAAAATGGAAAAAACATATTCCTTCATGATCGAAAAGGTTGCGTCTGAGTTATGGTTCAAAATCTGTTTCAGTATCGAAAGTGAAACTACTGCATGGTAGCGTTTCCACGCTGTTACCGTGAAGGAGCTGATATTTAAAAAAATGTTTATTAAAAACAAATTACTATTCTTTATTACATTAAAAAAAGGGAATGGTGTCAAAATTACACAGAAGTTGTGATACATGTTTGTTTTTATAATGTTAATATCTGCCGGTCAATGTATCTTGTTTATGCCATTCGTACTAGACGAGCAAATATTAAACCACTAGTTGCTCCCGTCTTGTATTATACATCAAAATATGGCGGCATTTACTGGAGCGAGGGCCCTGGTGAGGGTGAAGTATTTGTAAATGTGATCACACTACAGAGAGCCTAGTGAATTTGTTTACAAGGATAATTTTCAAAATATGCCATTTAAAGTGATGGAAAACCATATTTTCGACACCCCGCGCTTGCCAGGTAATAAGGTAATGCAAAAGTTATTTCGTTGTTACGGAAAAAAATACCCTGACGTTCAAACAGTCATTATAGTTGCCGTTCATGTGACTTTAGGGATTGCTGTTGAATTCGCCTTGTTACGTATCAGTGATATATTTATGCCCAAGGTATGGATATAAATGAACTTGAATTGGAACTTAGTGAAGATCTTACCCAAGACGATATCGAAAGCTTAAAATTATTGACAAAAGAAAGCCTTGTTTTGAAAACGGACGATAATGATGCCAAACGCTTTTTAACGTCTCTTAGAGAATGTTGCACTCCGTTAGAGAAATACTACGAAACACTAGAGAATCTACTCTCTAAGCTCAAAAAAACTGTGAGTTTTTCGTGCGGAGAGGTTTATTGGAGTGATCGAGTCAAAGAACATAGAATCAAATACGAAACCTGGCTCAAAGAAAAAGGCATTCAAGGAAATCCAAACTTTTTTGGCAGAAAACATTATCTGGAACAACTAGAGAGTGGTCTATATGAAAGAAGCATTAAAGGTTTGTAGGCCAAAGAAAGTTTTAAAATTAACAGTAAAAAATATATATATAATGAAAAGCATCACATGCTTGCAATTACATACATGTATAGATTAATAATAAATTCCATAACTAAGTTACTTTCTAGGTAAAACATATAATTGAAAATTACAAGATGTATGATGTGACATTGTGAAGGCAAGTATTTATATAATGTAACATTTTGAACAGCAATCTTCTTTTTTCCTGCTCATATTACTAATTTAACAAAATAAATATTTATAATTTCACTTGAAATAAGTTACTAGTATGTTTGTTGGTTTTTCTTGTTTCTTTTTTAACAGAGCTGTACAAAGTGATGTATACTTTGTCATTTGTAATAATAGCTTACAATTAGTGTGCTTTCTGTCAACAGCAATATGTATCTGTGGTCTTGGAGGGCTTGGGAAGTCTGCACTGGCACGTGAAATGTGTTCTAGGATTGCATGGAAGATAAAAAAGGTTGAAATAAGGTAGGTTATTTTGTCTAAAACATAGATATCTAAAGCAAGGCAAGGTGTTTTTGTTGAATATGGAGCTTAAGAATTACATTGTCATTTGAATCTTGATTTAGGACCTTTTTTTATTTATAATGTATGTATATAGTGATTTTCTAAATTAGCCTTTTTTTAAAAAAATGTTATCATCTTTTAGTATTGCAGTATCAAAAACAGATTATTTAGCATTCTTTTTTAATATCACTTTAAGGGAAACGATTTATGTCGTTTTTGTGCTTTGTGAAACTGTAATATGACTTTAACAACTTAAACAGGCCCATAGGCCATTGGAGGCCTCTAGAGAACCATCTTTTTGAAGGTAAAAGCCTTGCTGTGAATATAATATAGATCTACCAGTTGATACTATGACATTTTCCAAATTGGGCCAACTAAAAAGATAAAAAGGACCACCTTTTCAGAAAAATTCCCCCGTCCCCTTGAAGTGCTATTTATATATATTCATTAAGGCAGAAGTTAACATATATATCTCATCTTTACAGGGCAAAAGACACTATCAAAGAATTTCTGACCACAGTTGTCATCAATCTCATGACTCACTCTGATCAAAGAAAACCTATGCTAACAGAGGCAGACCTCACAGATTCATTACTCAGCATTTTAAATACTGAGAACGGTAAGTTCATTTATTCTTATTACATACACTTGGATCATACAATTTATAAAAAAATCCATGTTACATTTTACTTAATATATCATATGGATGGCCTTAAATTTCTATTAATACCAATATTCTTGAGTAATGAAAATGTACTAATTCCATTGGCTGTAGTCTTATTGGTATCTGAGATTAACTGAAATAAAATGCTGAGGCACTCACATTTTGAGACATAAATTTTAGCTCATAATCTTGTGCATCATTTCAGAAGACACTGTAGTCATTTTGGATGATGTAGATAAGCTGATGGGGAGCAGTAACAAAGACAACTTTCTCAACCTCATGCATGATATAGTTTGCAGAATGAACCCTGATTCAAAGGTAATTTGTACTTGAAATCCACAAAGAAAGAACCGGCTTTTTACAATATACAAAGTCCTTAAAATGAAAACTGTGCAAATGAAATGCCAGTATGTTCTGCATGAAAAATCCTTACACATGTATATTTTGTTAATTATGTACTTACGATACTGAAGGATAAAACATGTTTTGGTATGGACCAAGGTCCTTTGGATTAAAACATAATTTTGAAAATAATTTTGGAATATCTTTGAAAGGAATTTTTTAGAATAACAAAAACTTGCAGCACATCTGATTAGCATTAGGATTTTCTTTAGTACATTACGGCATAAGTACATAAGATAAGGGATATTGTTATGACTAAAAGGATTTATATGATTTCTCATTTGTTGGCTTGAGCAAATGTTTCATTTAATGGTTTTATTTTGTTAGGTGAAACTTTTGATTACATCTAGAGTTGAGATGATGGTAGAAGGGAGGTTTGGTGGCTTGATGCAAGAGATAGAACTCAAATCAATGGAGCAGAGGGAAGCAGAAGAACTTCTCCAAAAAACTGTTTGTATGAACAGTGTAAGCATTAATTAATCTTTCCATAAATTGGTGATACATGTAATTGCCATAGTATCATAATTTAATATAATAGTTTTTTTAAGTTGATTCATATTACACAGTCTAACAGACATGCTTCTATTGTGTCATACTTAGAATAAACAGATATTTCTAATGCTTTGTGTTCAGGGCCAGACATGTCATGTGACATTAACTGACAGCCAGTGTTCCACCCTAGCCCATCTGTGTGGCTGCAGTCCACAAGCATTGCTAGTTGTGGCAGACCTAATGAGACAGGGGGACCTACAACCAGATGACATCATCAGCCGTCTCCAGCCAGGGAAACTGAAAGCCACAGCCACTTTGCCACCAGTTCACAGATGCTTACAAGAAATGTTTATAGCACTTCCTGGAGACATGCAGAATTGCTTGGTTTCACTTTCCGTGTTTGACTCCAGCTTTGATGCGGAGGCTGCTTACTTTGTGTTCAAAGAACTTCAGCCAAAGGAGTCTCGCAGTCAATATGCTGAAGAAGATGCAAAATTTGACTTGAGGTGTTTGATTGGCCATCATCTGGTGGAGTTTGAGGACTACAGTATTTACTCTAATACTGTTACCATGGGTTATAAGAAATCTTCTTTGGGAAGATATTCCCTTCATCCATTGGTGAAAAATTTT